GAGATTGAATGGTTAATGTTTCCAATCCAAGTGTGAGTGGCACCTTATGTGGTTTATCAGAATCTAATTGGGGCACTATAATGGTGGAAAGTGGGGGTAGTACCTATGAATCTCATATTGGGCAATAGTGTTTTGAAATATCACCCCAAAGTCCTTAACAGGAATGGGAAGGAAAAGGAATGGCCCTTTTACTTAATAACTAAGAGACCACTGAAAATCCTAAAGGTTAGTGGGAATTAGTGAATAAGCCTTTAGGTCCTAACCCAATGGCAATATTAGCAAACATTATTTATGGAAATGAGGAAGTTGACAAGGATCGAAGAAGGGATAATGGGAGATGTTATTCCCTATGTTTTGGGGCATCCTAAAAATGCTAAAGTATAGTCATAAAATGACCACATTTAAAATGGATAGTTTAATCTTAGAGCAATGGGTGGTATATAGTACAGATTGAGATATTAAAAATAAATAAAGCTTTAGCATAAAAAGCTAAGATGTTAATGGTACTTTTGGGTATCGGGAATGGAACTTAAATACATAGAGCACTTGGATTGAGTGCAAAGGTAATATAGCTTGAATGCCACATTTAGGGTCTTAGTAAATACCTTAAGTTCAAATGAAGACTTATGAAGATTGTGAGCAAGACTCCTTCAAATGGTCAAAAGTGTATTAAAGTAGAATAAAAAATTTAGTCACTTACATTGTATTTTTCTTGATAAATATTTCCTTCTATGCAGTCTAGCAAACATAGGCATAAACTTGAAAAAAAAAAAAAAAGATCAATAACTGGCTAAACTTGCAACCATCCTAGTTGTTGCAAAGGGAGCCATAGTGTTACTCACCCTTAACTAGTAGCTTAGGTTAGCCAAGCTTGCCATCATCTAAACTACCCCGACCGCATGTAAGCTGCCATGTAAAGGAGAGGCTCCTCCCACAGCAGCTCTAAATGGTGGACCATTTGAAGCTGCCATAGGGGGTTACTCCCCCTTCATGCAAAAGTTTGGGTCAAGGCTGCTACAAGAATTGCCATGGCACCACTTAAGCTCCCACAGTAGAATCACCTTTGCCTAGCTTGAGTAGTCATAGCTGCTGCAATGCTATGGCTACCCAAACTAAGCAAGGGCAATCACCATGGGAGCTCAAGTAGCACCATAGCAATCCTTGCAATAGCCTTTCAGGAATCCTCCTTACCTACATGCTTCTTGCCGAGTTGCAAAAAACCCTATTTTGAGAAAACAAAATAAAGTTATAGCTCTAAGAATTTACTATCATTATTTGATCTTTCTTGTAAAGTGTGTTTTGATTTTCCTTTATTTTAAGTATAATTGAAGATAAAATAATGAGTGATGTTATGATGGCAATAATGAAGTATTGTCACTAGAAATGCAGTCACTGATAAAGAAAAATCTTTGTGTGCTTTCTTTAGGCTTCAACTTGATCAGGTTAGAATGTTGCAATAGCAGACAATCTTCCCAGAGAAAATTCAACAAAATCTCTTTTGCCTAGTTTTCAAAATCAGTGCCACTAAACATAGGGATTAGAAGGGCTTTGCTTGTTGTCATTCCTGCAAGGGTCTCAATCACTGGCCAACCTTGCTGGACAATAAAGCATTCAATTGCTCGATGTCATTTTCTTGCGTCTTCTTCTGCAATCAATTGTTCATATGCTGGCTTGTGAGTGATCAAGATCTGCTTGCTCTCATCCAAACTTCCCCATTACTTCTCCCAAGCGTAGTTTCCCTAGGCTTCGATTCTTTGAGGCAGTTACACAGTCTACCACTTTACATTTTCTCCATATAAATATTTACACACGTTCACTTGTCAATCCAATATGGATATTTCTACTGTGAGGACTCTTGTTGTAAATCTGGCTGAATAGCAGTAGACAAGAAATGAGAAGAGGCAAGAGTCCTCTAGAATGGACAAGAGCAGCAGTTTTGCAATTGCATCTCAACAATGATCTAGGGCTAAGAGCACTTGTTTGTCGCCCACTGGTTTGGAATTTGGATTGAAGGTAGCTCCCCAACAGTGCTGTTTGAGATCTGATACAGGAAGACCATGTAGACGCAAGTCCAAATGGTATGCCAATTCGTTGATGACTTGGAGCACTTGAAACGGCCCGAATAAACGAGCCTGTAGCTTGGATCTACCTCAGGGCCTTCCATCCCAATCGACATAAGAACCGGTTTTAATTTGCCGACAATATAAAGCCTGGGCAAGCGAACTCAGCAAAAGGTAGCCACTTCACCCAGCTCCCTGGCTTGTCCAAGGTGTTGCATCAAAGGTACATTTCCATTGTTTGGTTTACCCTCTCTGTTTGGCCATCTGTCAGAGAGTGGTATGCAGAGCTGAAGCTCAGCTTGGTCCCCATGACCTGAAAGAGGGACATCTCAAGAACCTGGAATCTTGATCGGAGATTATCTCTAGATATTGTCAAAAAAGCTCTACCATCTTTCGAGCTGTCATTGCGGAGGGGATGAAATGACTGACCTTGGTGAGCTGGTCAACTACCACCATGATGGCATCAAAACCAGCAGCCTTCGGCAATCCTGAGACAAAATCCATCATTATCGATGCAAACGGAGCTTGAGCAACTGGGAGTGGTTTCAGCAGCCCCAGGGACGCTACTGTCTTTGTCTTGATCTGTTGGCAAACTGTGCACTCTCTTACCCAGCGCTTTACTTCACTTTGCATCCCTTTCCAATAGAACTGTCTCTTTATTGCAGCCAACGTGCTTGCCCTTCCTCCATCCTCCACATCAAGCCGTCCTTGAAGGCAATTTCTGGGTGTGTAAAGAGCCTATTGAAGAGGGGTCCCAACGACTCATCCTGGGGATCTCGATTGTAAAATCCAGAGCTTGCAGCTTCTCCATCCATCGTCTCTGCTTTTTGTTGAGCTGAGTTTGCTCCAGCAAGTACTTTAAGCTGTAGTATTCAGTCCGCAATGTGAATCTTGCCCCTCTGAGATCATTGTCTATAGAAAATGCCGACTCAACAACAATAAGCTGGAGGACGAAGACTAGAGGGTTCAAACAAAACTATAGGGCAAGTAGCAGTGGAAAGTTGAGATCCTTCTTGGATGATAGACTAGAGAGCTGGTGTCCTTTGCGAAAAACCGAGCATTTGCTGAAAAGATGGCTTCTCGAACATCGATCTGGAAGGACGTTTTTCTTCCCTGGCCGGGAATAGCTTTAAGGACTATCATCCAAAGGTATGACCAGATCAAAAGTAAGACACCAGGAGAGAATGACGAGTGGTTGGGAAAGAAAATGAAGGAGCTATCAGAGAGGACCGCTTCCCGATCTTAGATTGGGAAGTTGCTGGACGAGCAGCAAAATGAACAAGACGAGCTACCAGCATATTTCTAGGAAACACGACCTACCCACAGGTGATGACTTTCCCCAAAGGTTGTCGTGGGCAACATACCAGCTAAGGTGGAGAATGCTTAGGTAGCGCTGGGAAAGCAAACCCAAGGTTATTCGACTGGCTCTGCAAAGTGTGAGATCGCAAAAACTACATGGTCGATTACACTATCTACATCGATTGCACGCTCTTCGAGGGCACAAGCCAACTTTCCCGGCAAAAGCGTGGAACAAACGAAAAAGTGTTTCCGGAGCATCGCTTCCCGACAATGCAGCCACGCCTGAGTCGAGTAGTGTACAATGGCCATAGGATAACAGGAGTGAGTGGGTGGACACGGAGTGAAACTATCTAAGATCTGAGTGCAGGGAGTTATATAGATTATAAGAGCTGGAATTTGCAATTATAAGAGCTGGAATTTGCAAACCAAAATCTATGTGCATTGATCCATTGTACAACGAGACCTGATATATTTTTCTTAGAGACTTTAGCCCCTATTCATAGTATATTTTTTAACTTTTCTGGCTTTTAATTAATTCTTTTAATATAAAGTATTTACTAATAATTAATTAAACACTTTGAACAACGTTAAAATCAAGATTGAAAAAAAGGCATAAGGGCAACATTGGTGCCTTGGAATAAGGAGCTTCTTGGATTGAAGCTACAACCTGGTGCTGTCAGGGTAGCAATCTTATCATCCAGTGGTAAATCTTCACTCAACATTTTCATGGTAGAAAGAGAAGCTAAGAAAATCTGGTGGTATCCTCCTCAAATTTAGCCAAGAAACAATTATTTAACTATATCCTAAATTGATTAGATTTTCGTGCGTTTTTCTTTTCCTCTTGCAATACTCATAGAGCAAATGTCTTCAACATACTCACATGGATGCACATGGCACGACAAAGAGCAAATGGTTAATTTCCTTCTGCCCCTCCTTTTTATTTCTCATTGGTTTTGTTGGCTTACAGTTAATTAAAGGTACTGTTTACTTGTTTTTAGACATTGAGATCAGCCAAGAGAACTGATCCTCTTCATAATTGTTACTAGTGCCATTTTGCTCATCTCCTCATTCTTCACATCTAAAAGTGTTATTTCCTCACCAGTAGTCTCCATGTTCATCAGGTAAAAGTGTTATTTCCTCACCATTTGTCTCAAAGGTAGATCTGTTTGCTTGTTTTTCACATTCCTAGACATTGAGAATAACCAACAGAACTGATCCTCTTCATAATTGTTACTAATGCCATTCTGCTCATCTCCTCAATGTTTACATTCATTTCCTCATCATTAGTCTCAATGTTCATCAGGTAGATCTTGAGCATCTTGCAGTGATTTAGAAGAGCGAGTCGTGCGGCAGAGTGAGGAAGGATTGCTTCACATTGGCCTGATTTAGCCAATATGCACATTTGGATTCTCACTTGCAATGCAGCCATCGATGTCTCTAAAGAGAAGAACATAAAAAGTTAAAAAACCTTTAAAGTAGAAACTACTTGTTCCAGGTCTACTACCCTTCACATAATTACAGATTACACATGCATTCAATGAAGACTAAGACATATTCTTAGAAGAACATACAGAGAAGGTGGAAGGAACTCAGGAGGAAGATTACCGACGACAGTGTGAGGAATTACTAGCCATTGGATGACAGATTAAAGAAGTTGCAAGTGTCCACTAAACCAAAAAATTTATAACAAAAACGAAAGGTAAAAACAAAGAACGAAATCAAAGAATAGACCTTTTTGCAAGCCTCCACTCCCATCTAAAATTCTTGCACAAGAACAAGCCGTGGCCTTCTTCTGCAAATGTTACAGCCAGCTCCTCTCTCTTTTCTCTTCTTTTTTTTTGCTCCCCCAACCAAGCGAACTACATTCGACGCTATACATATCCCCCATCAAATTCCTTCCTGGTTTCCGCAGCTCGATCGATCCCTCTCTCCTCTCTCCCTCTCCCCTCAAACTTAAGCCCCCAGAAGAACAGTAAGATGGAACTTGCCTTTCTTACAAAAAGTAGTCGGGAGTCTTGCGAGTAACGTCGGGCTCGCTCTGTCGGGGAGCTGGCTCAAACTGGAGGAAGGTCCGCCCCATCGTCTCATCAATCTCCATTATTGCCGCCATGTTGCCACACCGGTAACAGTAGTTGGGGGCACTAAACACCGTCACAACGTTCTTGTCCTGCAAAATTCATCCCAAAACTTCCAGTCAGTTCCATCCCGTTGCCTCGAAACGAAGCAGTCTCAGCTTGAGAAAAAAAACTCAAGGAAAAACGTTGGTGGCTATCGCTTTCAATCAATCCATCGGAGGCCTCCTACCTGGCACCAGTTGTATCCTTCCATCACAAGCTGGTGTGCACGGGCCACCAAGCTCAGGCCATTAGTGTGGTTGAACTGTTCCGCGATGTCTTGACCGAATGTGTATCCCGCGCCCCTCGGGGAGATTCCCCATCCACACCGATCATCCGGGTCCGACCAAAGGAGGTCACACATTGGGCCTTCATGCGGTACCTGTGGATCACGTAAAGTCAGCTCTACAAGATTAAACAAGCCACCAACGAGCTTTACAGAAGCACAAAAGAGAAACTTACTTCTTGAATGCGATCCAGCGCACGGATGTGGTCTAGAGTATCCAGAGACGGCGAAAGACCACCGTGGAGGCAGAAAATCTGCGAGCCCGCAAACATTTCAAACCTTGCGAAAGAGAAAAACAGAAACTTACTTGGTTCTCAATCAGCGCCGTGAGTGGCAAGTAATCGAACAAATCGGTGAAGTACTTCCAGACATTCGCGTTTCCATATTTCCTAAGGCATTCGTCGTAGAAACCATAACTGCAAAGAGAGCAACGCTGTGATCATCACCAATTCCCCAAGATCAAACAAACAAAAAAAAAAATAAAAACATAAAAACCCGTACACTTGCGTGATCTGCCTGCTTTCATGGTTCCCCCTCAGGATCGTTATTCTATCTCGATACCGTACCTTCAAGGCCACGAGCAGCGTCACGGTCTCAACGGAGTAGTAGCCGCGATCTGGAAAACCATAGATCAACTCGTAGCAACGACCAATTCTTCCTATCTAGAACTCACCGACATAGTCGCCCATGAAGAGATAATTCGTATCGGGGGCCTTGCCTCCAATCCGGAAGAGCTCAATCAGATCGTGGAACTGGCCGTGGATGTCGCCGCACACGGTCACGGGGCATTTCACCGGCTGGACGTTCCATTCCTCCACCAGTATGGCGCGCGCCTGCTCGCACAGATTCTTCACTTCCAGCTCCGACAGCGGCTTGCACTCCCACAGCTGCTCGATCTGCCTATCAAGATCGTTGTGGGAAGGCATGGCGGAGGACGAAGCGAGAACAGTGAAACAAAAACCCTAGCGCTACCGGAACGATCAGATCCGCGGCCTGCGATTCCGGCGATCCCTCATCCACAGCCAATGCGCCCTAGCTCCAGCTGCTTGAGACCAGAAACCTCGAAATCTCCCTGCCCGGGGATGGAAGAAACACTGCCGCGCCGTGAGCTCCGCATCTAGATGCCGAGCGCCTTCGCGAGGCATCGCATTTCTTCGAGAGCGGCCGCCAGGGACAAGACCTCGCCGCGACGCGCCATAGCCTCCTCCTTCCACAAACACTGCCAAATGAAACAAAACCACTACTACACAAAAGTCCAGCCTCGGGAACCAAGCCTCCAGCTTCGGCGGCATATTCTAGCATCCCACGTCAGACTGGTTTGACAGGTGGCGAATACGTGGCGTAGCCGCATTGGGACACTTCTAAACAGTGCGCAGCTCCACGTGTCCAGATAGAAAAGATGCTGGCACATTTTACGCGAGGCGTACGATTGGAATCCACAGAAGCCTGACGGTTACGATACTTCCACGGAAGTTTGGAGTGATAAGACACAGAGTTTTCAAGAGTTCCAAGCGTTATTTTTGATTGTTTGGAAGGAGCTCATCCACTGTGAGAATTTTAAATGGCTGCTTGTCAACCGGGTATTTTTCCATGCTTCCTTCTTGCGAAGAGCCTTTTGCGACGCAAACCTGCGAAGAAACTCTCATAGTTTAGACCAAAAGATCTGAGAAACTTACGCAGTGCTCGTTGTCTAGTTGATGCAAAGAGAATGACCAATCTTCTCGATGTTTGCCATCGATTCGTACGCTAGCTACTTGTCCCCAGATTTCCCCGTCGAGAAAGAAGAACTCGAGCCGCTGGAGGTTGAAACCAAGCCCGATTCCAATAGCTTTTACGTACGCTTCCTTCAAGCACCAATGCCTGAAGTTAGAGACGAGATCACGGTAGTGAAAAGAGAATGGAATAGAAAACAATGTGATAGAGATTCTTTACCTGTAAAATTGGTGCAAGATCTTTTTGTGGTCCGGTTTCGAGCTCATAATGTTTCCCCATTCAAGCGCTGTGAAGCAGGACCGAAAGTTCTCCACGTACGCGAGTGGCTGTTCTTTGATTCGGGGGTCATGCGACATGACGTCCACGCCAACGAAATGGTGTGGCTCCGACGCGATTGCGACATAGTCTCCATGGTGAGAAACGTTAAAATTAAACTCTGGAAGGCTCAGGCGTCGTCTATCGTTGGCCTGCAAACAAAAAAAGAAAAAAAAACCAAACAAAGCTGTCAAAGCCTCTCTCTTGAATGTGGAACTTACAAGTCAATCAGATCACAGAATCAAATTAAACGAGGATTGAAGGCAACCAAGCAGCAAGAACAAGAACAAAACTTGCAAGGAAAACCCGACATCAAAACCTGGTAAGAACGTAGAAAAACCAAACCATAAAAGATCAAACATGTCAAAGCATTCTACACGGTCACACACTCATTTTCCCCATCAAGGCTTGGAAAAACTTTCCTGAAACTTTCAAGATCAAAGAAGCAAACTAAACGAGGATGAAAGGCAATCACAGCAAGAACACGAGGAAGTAAGAACGTAGAAGAACCAAAGGAAGAAAAAACACGCTTTTTTTCCGGCAAATTCTATACGTACTAGAAAAGGCTTGCCTTGAGGAGTGCGATGGATGATGATCTCCTTGTAAGGAATCCCAAGAACCGAATTCACGAGCTTCCGCTGTAGCAGCCGGCTCAAGATCCCCATCTTCCGATCCTCGATCCTCACAAACCTATCCAAATCCACTGCGATCCATGAGATTTTCACCGCAGGAGATCCAGCGCCATACCTGAGCACGGCCTCCCAGTCGCAGAGCGGTAGCGCCGAGAGAAAGAGATCGAACTCCGCGGACGAGGGTTTCCATTCCGCGGCATTCACTGCCCAGCGCCGCGATCCCCCCTCTTCTTCCATGGGAAATAAAAGATTCTAGGGAATCGCATTTTATCCGCCATGATGGGATGGGAATCGAACACGTGATCATTTTACTCAGGTGCCGTGTGCTCTCCTCTCGAGCGAGGGACAGAATGCGCTACCGGGCGCCCTAGGGTTTCTCAACGCGGGAGAGGGAGCGCTCACGAATTCCAGCTCCAGGCGCTCCAAAATGTCGGGCAATGCGCAAGGATTCTTCGGCATGGTGAGTTCTTTCTCCACGACTTGCGATTTCTTCCCGTGAAATACGACTCTGGATCGTTTTGCTAGTTCTGTGGAAGATTTTGCGAGAGTTTCTCGGTGCTAATTCGCTCTTTCACTGCTCCTTGCAGCATAAGTTTGGAAGAGGCCGAGACAAAATCCAGCAATTCATGTCGATCTCGGGGGCAAAGTATTGTTGATTGAAGGCTCCATTTGGTGGCTTGTGCTTGTTTTTCTCGCTACCTACTTATCAAAATCTCTTTGTTTACTGCCTGTGCTTCAGTGAAAAGGCTGCTCTTGCCGCGCTCAAGGCCAGCGATTGGAATCTAGATGGAGCGCTGGATATATACTATAACCAGGCTTTTGCGAGGCCGAAGCTTGATCCTTATCAGCTGGAAGAAGTGTATTCTCGCTACAAAGGTGGTCCTTCGTGAATACTTTGGCTTTCTTTCTCTTCCTCATTTGTCTCTTTTGCAGACCCCTACTCTGACATGGTCTTAGTGGATGGGATCTCTTTGTTCTGCGAAGATCTGGAGGTAACTTTAAAGATTTTAGAGCTCTGGCATGCTAAAGCTGGTGTTTTTTTATTTGCTCTCCAGGTAGACCCCGGCGATGTCGTCATGGTAAGAACAACGTTTTTAAGGCTGTGACATAATGCTTTCTGTGCTTCGCAGCTTGTAATCTCATGGCACATGAAGGCGGCTACTATGTGTGAATGGTCCAAAAAAGAATTTATGCAAGGCTTCCACTCTATCGGGTATGAAGGCTTACGTTTTGAGCACATGTTGAAGAAAAATAGCTCTCCTGAATGCCAGGGTTGATTCGATTCCCAAGCTAAGATCTGTTCTTCCAGCACTTCGAGCGGAGCTCAAAGATGAACGTGAGCTACGTGCTTTTCTTTCGGTTTCGGCTGATAGTTGTCATTGCGCAGATAAATTCCGGGAGCTGTATGCTTTTGCGTTCTGCTGGGCCAGGGAAAAGGTGACGTGCGCCTTTCTCTTTGTTGGGTGTCTTCATGAACGGGCGTGTGTTTCAGGGCCAGAAATCGCTTGCGTTAGACACGGCGGTGAGAATGTGGGAGCTGCTGTACGAAGACAGAGGCTGGCCTCTCATCAACATCTGGTGTCAATTCTTACAAGTATGTGGTTGTTCCCTCTTGGTTGTTTCTGAAGCGATTGTGTATGCAGGCGAAACACAATAAGGCCATTTCCAAGGACACATGGTCTCAGCTTCTCGAGTTTTCAAAGGTGGTACTTGCGTGATTAAAACTTCTACTGATGTCTGAAGTCTTTTGTCTTAGAGTATTAGCCCGACACTGTCAAATTACGATGCGGAAGGCGCATGGCCATACCTTATTGACGAATTTGCGGAGTATTTAGTCGAAAGTGGAGTAGTACCAGCAAAGTGAAATCACAAGAGAGAAGTTTTCTTTTTTTGCCATTGGGCATTATTTGTATCACATATCATTCATTGCAATATTCAAACTGTACATCAATTTAGCAATTAAAGTCTCTTGTATGAAAGTAAAGTTTGTTTACAGTATTATAATTAAATTTAAAAGGTTTTTCAAGTAATTTTTAATATTCCTTTATATTTTATTATTTATAAAAATAAAAAAGGTATAGATTGCTTTTAATTTAAGTGATGTTAGAGGTGGACTCTGGAGCATAGAGAGTGATGCACTTTTGTATATATCAATTAAAGTTTTTAGGGTAATTGAATATGCACATTTTTATATTACATACAGTTACATTTGGTGGAGGTGAGGGGTAACTCTAATTATTTTAATAAATGCTTGGATTTAAATTTAACTTTTCCATCTTTTATTCTTATAACTTTTTCATTTATTCTCTTTTAAGAATGCTCGTCAAATATTGATTTCAGGACTTAGCATTTACATCTTATAGAAATTGTGAAGATAAACTCAACTCTACTAGCAATAATATAAAATCATGACTATATAAAAGTTTATATAGTGAAGCATTAATGATGTGACATACATATACTTGAGAGATAGTAAATAATCATTTTAATCTGAATGTTAAAAATTTATATACTTTACAATCATCCCTTTAAATATCCAAATTAATTGTTCCACCAAACCATGCATCTGTAAATGATAAAAATTTATAAAAGTGTGATGTATCCTTAGCCAAGACATCAATATATGAAATGCTTAAACCATAAATGTAAGACTATTATCCAAAAGAATCCACTTCAAATAAAAATGTTGAAACACCACTTGATAAAGGAGGCCATCAATCATAAATGCAATAACAAATGCATTTAACAACAATAGTGTCAACCTCTATTAGAACATAATCCTCTCCCTTGGAGAAGTAGATTTAAAATACATGTTAGAGAGTTAATGTCATATAACATTGTGTCAATCGAAGAACATCATCAAAAGTGGCTATAGCAAGTGTATATATAAATCTTATAAGATATTGTCGAAATGCTAGCTATAATATGCCCAACTTATATATATTTAATTCAAAATAAAAAGCTCCATTTAACAAATTTATCCTCTAAAAATTGTACATATACAATGGCTAAAGCATTTTGTAAAAAGAAATAAAAAACAAGTTGCACTATCTACATCAAAGCATCCTTGCATATCCCTCCAAATCCTAATCTATCAATAAAAGTATCCTAACTACTCTATGAAGAAGGGATGATGTGAGGTTTATATGTACAACTTTTAATATAGTGGGATTTTAATGGATGTTGGATTGGTTTTAATTTGAACCATTCACTTTTATATGTAACTTATGGTTTTTGGGCTTCTTGAATATGCATAGTTCTATATTTCATTCACTCACAAGGTATTATTATATTTTAAACTACTATAATGATTTCTAAGTTTTATATTATTAACTTACATTTATTATTATTACTAATTTTCATATTTTTATGACTTTACCATTATCAATAAATAAATTTAATATTTATTATATATTATATCACTTATATATTCATTAAAAATAATTATAAACATTTTTTATTAAAAGCTTACCAAACTATTTTCAGTTTTATAGTAAAACCAAAATTGTGCTACTTCATTTTATTCCAACTAGAGATGCTCATGCAATCAAGGTTCTTATTCAACATCAATCACTAAAGGAAATTAAAGTTTTATATGTAAATTTGCATATTTGATTAGCTGAATAATTTATATACAAGAACTAGTGATCTGGATTGAAACCAATTTGATGGTTATCAAAATCCCACTACACTAACCATAGTATATGGCAGCATAGGTGTATACCTAAACTTTATATATTTATATATAAATGACTTAAAACTATTTAATTATATTCATTATATCTTTACTCATAAATTATTTATCTTTACTCATAATTTTTGGTTTGCTTAAACAATATAATAATGGATATACCTAAAATATATTTAGATATTCTAAGATATTATACCTTGTTCATTTATAAACATATTTATAACTAGCTATTGCCCCCCAGAAGTTCTAAAAGCTGTTAAGTGTGATCATTTGTTGAGGGTCCTGTCCACTCTAGTAGAGCCATACAAACTAAGATTGTAAGGATAGTCCTCTTTAGGTAGCATCTCATGCTCGCTCAAGAAATCTACCATGGGACATACCATATCTAGTACCATGGTCTACCATCTTGTCATTAGATGGCTGTCAAACTTCATTATAGTTGTTGTAGTCTAAAGATCTCCCATGTTTGGCAATTTTTGTATGAAGGGCACAAAGGCTCTAGCTTGTGTGAAGGGGTTCTCCCTTACACTAGCAAGCACCTCCTTTGTCCTGCTCTAGGCGGTAGAGGAAGAGGATTCAAGGTTAGCCTCTATTTCATTTGCCTTGTGTTGATACAACAAAGGCACAAGCTTGCTCAAAGGCCTCCCTCCACTATAGTGAGTTTGTGAGCTACAAACATTGTGAAGATCTCACAAAAGAACTTACCCCAGTACTCTATGCCAAGATGACTCCTCAAAACCCTAGTGCCTCCAATACTTGTCCCCAAAATCCCGCAAATGTGTTGCCAGACTTGGGCTTGGACTGCAGCAACTAGATGCGATGTGAACAATGGCAGTAGTGCAGAGCAAATGGAATAGGGTTTTGTCACTTGATTTCACTTATCCATTGTAATCATTGAAAGGTGGATCTACATTATGGCATGATCCACGTGCCACCCTCCGATAGAGGCCTTCCATGTCTAGCCTATCTATATGTCTTGGACAGCTTAAAAAAGAAAGCATACCACAGTAGAAGGGACCATGTGCTCGCTCAAAGCCTCTTGAAAGTGATAGTTAACTATTCTTCCACAAATGCTACACTCAAAAAGTCTTGCTGATGAAGCTAAGGGGTGGTAGAGGGGTGAGAGCAGGGTTCTATACTTTACTATAGAAGGAAATTTCCAAGGGAGAGAAATTAAACCCTAGGTTCCAGGTGCCCCCCACCCCCGACCCTTGTGACATGGCTCCCAAAATGGGGGAAAGGGGGAATATACCCCATGAACTAGGTAAACATCATCTAAGAGGAAGTTTGCAATAAATGGAAAATTGCTCTATCTATGGTTGCAATTTAACTCATATTTTAGTTTATTAATAGCTTAAACTTTATAATTCTAGAGTTTTACTTGTTTTTCTCAATTTCCAAGGAAGTGGAAGTTTTTTTTTAAGTGTTTACATGGGATTTATGTCAAATGCAATTTTGATCTAGGTACTTTTCATTTTCTTTTTGTTTTTTCTCTTTTATTTAGAAAATTTTTACAATGGCTTTTAGCTTGGCATTTGTACATTCAATTTGGTGATTGGATTTATTCCAAGTATTTTCTGC